CAACAATCAAAAGTTCACGAGTTGCTTGCAATGCAGCATATGCACCGAGGACATGTGGACTGAAGGGCACAAGGGATTAGTGAATGAAATGGGGCAGACATCCTCAAAATGGATGGGACATACTGGCGGGGAGTGCTTGCTACGAGATTATATTTCGGACCTGAGTGGCTTTAGGGATTGCAAAAAGTCGTTGGAGAAAAGAAACATACAGCGAAGGTTGAGTGCGTCTGTGGTGTATAGAGACCCGTCCACAGTGGGCTGTGCGTGCCTTCAAGCACGAGCTGCCTACTTTCACTAAGATTCAGTGCATCGGCAGCCATGCACTCAAAGTACGCTCATATACAGTGAGGGTGTATGTGACTACCAGCCCCCAGCTGTCGATGTGTCGTGGTTTCCCCGCCCGAAACTGCACGGGGTTAGAGTACAGGGCCGTGGGAAAGTCTAATTCGTCCATGCTCCGCCCAAAATGCAACTTGCGGCGCAGACTCCCTTTATGCTAACAGCCGTCCGCGCGGCGCGTGTCGCGCGCAGCTCTCTTGGCTTTTTGCCAAGTCCTGTAATTGCGCTCTGGAATACAAGTAACGCAATTTCCTGATGCGGATAACATTTTAGGTGCTGCAAAATAAGAACGAGGGCCAGAACTCAAGAGCAACTGTGCTGCTTCTGCAATATCCCTCGGAGGCCGCGCATTCCCACAAAACTTTAAAATAAAAACGGCCTGAATGATGTTGCAGAAGCAACACAGTTGCTTTTGAGTTCTAGCCCTCGCCATCATCTTTGCAGCACCTCAAATGTTATCTGCCCCAGGCAATTGGTTTACTTGTATTCCAAAGCGCAATTACAGGACTTGGCAAAAAGCCAAGAGAGCTGCACGCGACACGCGCCGCGCGGAACGGCTGTTAGCATAAACGGTAGGCGGAGCATGGACGAATTAGACTTTCCCACGGCCCTGTACTCTAACCCCGTGCGGGCGGGGAAACCACGACACATCGACAGCTGGGGGGCTGATAGTCACATACACCTCGATGTATGTGAACGTACCATGTGTCTTTAACCAGCGATCGTCGTAAATGCACTCGATACCAGTCGGCTCGCCGGCTGACGCCGGCGCGCCTCCTCTGTGATACGGCCGGCCTTGCCGGGCGGGCGTGGCTTCGTCTACCCTACCTGCTTTCGTACGTTCAAATGCACGACTGATACCCGGCTTTCTGTCATCTCTGCACTTCATCAATGCTCCTTACCATAATGTCATGCACAGTAATAGTGTTGAAAATAGCAGGTATGATGTTACTGGTCAAGGAGCGTTGGTCATCTGTTCAGGTAAAAGAAAGCCGCATATCAGTCCGGCATACAAACATGTGGAAGAAGCGATATCACAGAAGGAGGGCGCCGGGGTGAAACAATCACTTAGTGCACTCCGAGCCATGCACGGGCTGCTCACGTGGCAGCTGGACGTGAGCACGTGCAGTGGGACAGGGTAGGGAAGGGCAGGGGTTGAGGGGGCATAGGGAAGAAGGTAGGGCGAGGGAGGGCGAGGAAGGGGTGGGGCGAGGGAAGTGAGGTTAATGGGCTGCTCGCGTGGCAGCTAGGTGTGGGTGCAGTTGGAAAGGTTAGGGAAGGGCAGTGGCGAGGGACATGGGGAAGAAGGCAGGGCGACGGAAGTGAGCTTAATGCGGAGGGAGGCT